TTTCTGTAAAAATTTTAATTCAAAAAGGTACTCTATCATTGGAGAGAGTCAGTGCAATGATTTCTTTTCTGATTTTGCATCCTACGGGCATTCAATAAAGTTACTTCTATAGGAAGTGATTGCTTTATTAGCTGTTGTTGGGCTTCTTCACTAAACACAACATGGTATCTGCCTATAAGACACTTCATTGGCTTTTTCATTTGTAATTTGAAAAGCTATACTAAGAGACTTTTGGATTTTAAAAAATTCAATATCAACATTTAAAAAACTCAGTTTCTTTTTTCTCTAAAGTTTGAATGATTTGTCTCAAAATGATATCACTGGCATGATAATATTTTCTAGAAGTATTATTGTGAAAGATAAGTTATTATCTTTTATATGCTGAGAGAAAGATAGCTTTTATTCTTATGTTTTTATTTTTTATTTACAGCATCTCTAAGTTTCTTTGGACTAGATTTCTTCCATCTGTGAGTTAGAAAATTCTCTGATGTGTCATTTTATATTTTCCAAATGTCTCTAGAGTTAGAAATTGGCAGCCGTGACTTGAGAATATGAATCTTCTTATTACCCTTTCGAAGAAAATGATCACATTTTTAAAAATAAGGAAAATAAAGCAAACTTTCTTTATTAAATCCTTAATAAGTACTATAAATTGTAAAGCTGTGACAGTTTTAAATAAAATTTTAAAAGAGGGATAGAAGATTTAGCACAGTGGTAGAATGACTAGTGTGCACAAGACCCTGGGTTTTTTTCCTGGCATAGCAAAACAAACAAAAATTAGAATATTTTCAAAGAAACATGAAACTATTTTTTGCAAAACTTCTTGTTTTTCCACTTAGATGCAAGGAAAACTTCATTAATTTAAAAGAATGATTCATTGGATCTAATGTTATTAACACATATAATGAGAACTTGTACAAGCACAAAGGAAGTAATGAAAACAAACTAATATCTGTAAACAGCACATTCATATTAGAAATTTACTACTTTAAATAATTCTAGAAAACACAAGAGCATGTGAGCAGATATTCCATTAGCCATCAGAGAGACAATATCATCATATGTCAGGTAGCCCATGAAGAATTTTACTGGATACATGTGAAAGAATAATAGTGAAAAAGGAAAATTACAACTTAGAGTTATTATAAAAATAGTTTTAACTTAAGCCAGACATGAGAGCACACACCTAAATCCCAGTGGCTTGGGAGACTGGGGTAGGATGATACAAGTTCAAAGCCAGCCTTAGCAATTTAGTGGGGCTGTAAGCTACTTAGCAAGATCCTGTTTCAAAATAAAAAGTAAAAAGAGTGGGGACATGGTTCAGTCATTAAGCATACCTGGGTTTAATCCCTAGTACTAAAAGGAGAGAGAGAGAGAGAGAGAGAGAGAGAGAGAGAGAGAGAGAAAATTGAAGATAGTTTTAACCCCCATGGAAAGGCTTTTAAGATTCCTTTACTAATAGCTGTTGCTGTAGAGAATTGTCATCTTTGTACCCCCAGGTTATTGGGGGGGGGGGCGGGAGTGGTACTGGGGATTGAACTCAGAGGCATTCAAACACTGAATCACATCCTAAGCTCTATTTTGTATTTTATTTAGAGACAGGGTCTCACTGAGTTACTTAGCACCTCCCTGTTGCTGAGGCTGCCTTTAACTCCAAATCATCCTGCAACAGCAGCCTCCGGAACACCTGGGATTACAGGTGTGCACCCCCTCACCTGGTGATTCACCAGGGATAAATGGTGTGACCTTAAGCAAACAGTCAAGGGCAGCATTGTCTTATCTGTAAAATGGATGACAATAATGACTATATGATAAGACTGATGTAAAAATAAACCTTATATTACCTATAAAACCTTTAGCCCAATAAACAGCAAAGAAAAATCCCTCAAATCTCATTTTCTGTTACTGTCATTACAAATTCCAAGTCCTTGCTTCATTTAATTAGAAAAACAGTGAAAAATTGCCAAACTTTAAATCATCTCCATTATATTATATTTAAGTGCAATTATCTTACTTCAGGTCATTGCAAGTCCTTAGTGAACTAAAACGTTTGAACCCATCTGTAAGAGTTTCATGTAATTAGCATGTAATTGTTGGAATAAATTAGTTTCAGCATAAAAGAAAATATTTTTCTCTAGTGTTTAAACATTTTCTCTGGAAGGCTGTTTTTGTTATTGTTTGTCTTAAGTTATATAAATCAGATAACTCTATCTTGAGGTTTCATTTGTCCATATTAGTGGAAACTCAATGTCAGTGGAAACTCAATATCTTTTGAAGTATTTGGGAAAATTCAACTACAATATTTCATGAGTAGAATTTCAAGCGATGAACATGTTCAATTTTTTTCTTGATATTCAAGCTTCTAGTAGACTTGTAATTCTTAGCAAATTAATTACATGACAGACTTAGCTAATGTTTTGAGAATAGAGACTTAGGATTTTAAAGATGGCTACCACAGTGTTTTAAGAGTAACATTAAAGTGAAAATACTTCTTTTTCTGTCAAATGATTTTTCCCCTTTTGTTAAGTACAGAAGTGCATCAGTGGTTACTGATATTTTTAAGTGTTTCTTCTTTAAAATATCCTTTATTTTTTGTTAATAATAAACACTTTGCAATATTTTGAGGCATTTAAAATGGATTGCAAATCATAAAATATATTGTATTTAAAATGTCCTCCTAAATAGTAATGTTTTTGTTTTTGTCTAGTGTATCAGATGGCCAAGCAAAGACCCTTTTTTCCCCTCATGGGTAATATCCTTCATGACAACGGAAATATTACAGAATGGCTTAACATAGATACAACCCAGATTGAAATAAAAGTTTAGCACAGAAATAACAGGACTGTTTGAAGAAGTATATTATAAAGCTTGTTTTTTCCTCAAATACTCAATAGAATAGAAACTCTAATTTTTCTAACATCTCAGAAGAAACTGAAATAGAACCTCATTAATAGAACAAGGAAGGGCTCAGTTTCTCAACCTGCATAACTCATGGAAACAGCTTCCTCTGTCTTCTGCTGTCTCTTTCTGTGACGCATTCCATCCAGCTGCTGAAATGGACTGCCTTCTGGAAATTAAAAACCACATGTCTCAGACCACAGCAGTAAATCTGGCAGAACAGATGGTCCTGGGTGAATTGCTACACCACTGCATAAAACCTTGGGATTTCATCAACAGGCTTTAACCTAAGTAACAGGAATTAGAGTGACAAATTAACAGCTAAACTTGCATGCTTATATCAAAACAATATGTTACAGTTTCTTCTATTGTAATATTCTAATCAAGTGAGAATTACGCTATAAGTAAAATATCAGGTATGCAAATGTACATGCACTCATTTATGGTCTTTTCAAACACTGAGATGCAGAATGAGAATTTAGTGCTACAACCTAGTTTGACTGACTTTGCAGAGGAGTTTCATTTGAAGTCATTGCTTTATTGTACAAACCAAGACGTTTTATTGGTTTGTACACTTGACATCATTCAATATTTTCATTTGCTGTTTCAAGGGGTCAAATAAGAGAACAGGGTGAACAGAAAGGAATTAACATGGATAATGGTACTAGGAATCTGGGTCTTTGTTCTACCTGTCTTATCCTAACAATGATTCCTAAACAAAAACTCTTCAGATCAGGGAAATCACTGAAATAAAAGAATTTATTAGGACCATTACAGATACTAGCCAGAAAACAGAAAGGAGAAGGTCCTGGGACCAGTTTCTTCAAGTACCAGCAAAAGGAACTGGGCTAGAGATAGTGTTACCTGCAGCCTTCCCCAGGGACCCTGCATAGAGCCTGGCTGGCTAGATTAGGCTGCCTGACCACTAGGAAATAGACAAAATATGGAAAAATGAACAGTGAACTTTATGAAGACTGATCTGGGGAAGGAAAACACTGTAACCAACATTGGTTACAGGTAAGAAGGGCAGGATATTGTAAAGCAAGAGACATTTTGGATTAGGAGGGCAATCCATAAGGAGAAGTCTGGCAAAAAGAATATGTAAATAGGCTGTTGTGGTCCTGGTGGTTAGCCCTGGTGGGACTTGAACTTTTAACATATATTCCAAAATGTAAAATAATTTTTGTTCTTTTTGGTTTCTAGCTTGTTTCTGATTAACGCCCCCACCCAATACACACACTCCCCTATCTTTCCTCCCTTCTGTTTTCTAGCCCTTTGTAATTAAAGTTGGGACATCTCAGTCCTGTCATCACTGTCCTATGATGCATCCACACATCCCTGCTTTCAACTTCACATATGCTGTTGAGTCTATTTGTCAATCACTGAAAATACAGGGAGTTGAACAAAAGCAGTTCTTATCTTTGTAGAGTTTTAATTATAGCAGGAAAGACATGCAAAAACAAACAAATACTTGATTAATCATCTAATTATAGCTCTAGTAAGGGACAAAAGTGTTGATAATAGGACGAGGGTGGTATGGGTCAGTGGTGAAGCCCTTGCCTAGCATGTCTGAGACCCTGGGTTATATCCCCAGCACTGGAGAAAAAAATAAAAGCTCATGAGCTCAAAATAGAACTTGACCTAGCTGGGGAAGGGTTGGGGAGACTGGGAAGTGTTTCAGAGTTGTAGAATGAATGTTTGCAGGTCTGAATGTATCATCAATCAAACTGTGTCCTAAAGAAAGGGTAGGAATTGACTTGAAGAAGAGGGTATGTGCAGGGAAACCTGGAAAGGAGGAATCTGGTGACAACAGACTGATAAGGGGGTGAGGATAGTTGTCTCTCCATTGTAGCTAAGGCTTTACAGTCACATAGATAAACAAATGGGATTTGGACTTGGTTCCGTAAAACATGTAAGTTCTTTATCTTACAACATAATTTTTCTTTGTTGGATGCAAAGCATGCTTAAACAATTGCTTTGATCTTAAGCTGCAGATTGCCAGGAAGGGTTTTTGCATTTTTATTCAGATATATTGCAATGTTATCTATTAAAAGTAAGTTGCTGTTCATATGTTCAGCATCATTCTCTGTTTTGTTTTTTAGTGTTCCAACATTCCAGAGCCTTCCTGAAGAGATCCTTAGCAAGCTTGCTGATGTCCTTGAAGAGGTAATTGTCTTTAACCTTTGAAAGTTTTGAGATGGGATCCAGCCTGCTGGCTTGTCTTCTTTTACAGCTGTGTGATGACGAGTCACAAACCACAGAGACCTTTTAAATTTGTTTTGGGCTCTGGAATGAGCTGTATAGTTTGGCTTCAAATAAAAAACAGCTTAGTACACCTGACATTTATACACAGTTAGAAATGGGCAAATCAACTTAACTACAGAGGGAAGAAAACCTTGTTGTTTTAAATGTAATGTTACCTTGTCTTCCAAGAATGGGTGATGGAGTTTTCCCTATTTCAATAAATATGAAGTAAAATTACAGTTATGGCCACTCTGAAGCTTCAGATTAGCAAATTTATAACAGGAATTTGTAGTAACATGTATATTTTATTATCACGTGATTATATTTTACACACACGATTTCATGCCTGAAAATGTGGGATGTCACTGTTAGTTTTCTCTGAACCTACATAGTTTTGAGAAAGAGGAAAAACAAAACACATTTAGGCATAGTTATGTAATTATATAATATGTAGACATATATTAATGCATATGCTGTCTCACTGAGATTCATAATCAAACGGTAGCAGAAGGAAATTATTCCTGTCAAACTAATAAGTTCCATGTGAAATTTAAAGCAAATTTTAGTGACTCAAGTTATTCTCTTGTCTTTTTAATATTCATTTTGTAGTTGTAAGTGGACACAATATTTTTATTTCATTTTTATGTGGTGCTGAGGATCGAACCTAGTGCCTCATGCATGCTAGGCGAGAGTTCTACCACTGAGCCACAACCCCAGCCTCTCAAGTTATTCCCTTAAAGGTAGTATGCATGTGAGTTTTATTTTATGTTGAAAAAATTTTAAAAATTACCTGTTTCATTTTACTGAGGAAGCACGGATGCATAAATGGGAATCCAAGAACACTTTCTGTGAGGGCAAAAAGCTAAGCATCAGTCCAAAGTAGGATGCCCTTGCTCAAGTAGGAATTATGGAGGACAAAGTTGGTCCCTTAGAAGGCTATTTAGAAGGCTAGTCAGCAGCCCCACCAGAATTATGAGACTTGGACAACTGAGGTGAAGGAAACATTGCAGGTCAGGTTCCTCCTCCTCCTCCTCCTCCTCCTCCTCCTCCTCCTCCTCCTCCTTCTTTCAATTCAGTAAATATTAGCTGAGTGTCCCCTATAATCAGGGGTTCTGAGATGTTACAGTACATAAATGGTCACAGTTCTTCCCTCAGGAAGTTTACAGTCTAGAAAGGGAGATTCATAATAATAACCCAGCCCCATAAAAATTAATTAGAATTATATGCTAATAAAAAATATGAGCTACTAAGACCATAAAACAGACACTGACATGGTCTGGGTGGCCATGGAAAGATTCTGGGAGAATACAATGAACCTCGCTCTGCAGACTAAGCAGGAGTTGGCTATATGAAGCGTTGTTTTAAATTAGAAGGAACCAAATGGGAGAAAAGGAAAAGGAGGAGGTGAATGGAATGCAAAATGTGCCTAGAGAAGAGAACTTGCCAGAGTTAGTAGGTCCAGTGAGATATTTAGGTTTCATCCTCTTAGCCAGAGAAAGGTTTAAAAGGAGGAATGGAAATAGGGACAGGATCAGATTAATATACTGCTATGGAATATTCCAGAGCTTAATTGGGCAAGTAGAGTGGAATGATATGCAAATGGTCAGCCCTGGAGCAAAGGGTGATTTAGGAATATGTTTCCCCACTTGAATCTTATTTTCCGATTAATTTGATTAATTTCCCTTACTGCCTTCTTAGAATTCAGATTTCATATTGATTATTTTGCTTATTCTATAATTTAGTGAATGCCTAGATTTCCAGTACTCTCTTGGGCGCTTGGTATTCAGCAATGAAAAACAAATAAAAATCCCTGTCTTAATGGAGTTTACATTATTTCGGTGGAACCTTAGGGAAGATAGATGGTAAACACAGTAAATAATTTCGGGGTTGGGGATGTCGCTCAGTGGTAGTGCACTTGCCTAGCCCAAGTATACATGAGGTCCTGGGTTTGATCCCTAGTAGAAAAAAAAAATCAATTAGAAGAATACAGTATATTTAATAGAGATAAATGCTAAGGAGAATTTAAGTAGGGAAGGTGGGTAGGAGGAGTTCAAGGTATTAGAATGTGTAACTACAGTTGTCAATTGAATAAGTAAAGGGGTGTTGAGTCCAAGGAAAGAGTACTATGAAAAATGTCCTTAGGAAGTTCAAGGAATAGCAAGATGGTCACTGAGTTGGCATTGGAGTAAGGGGCCAGAGAAAGTGTGCCTAGACTGGTATGGGAGCAGGTAGATCATCTAAGACCTTTTAGTCCATTGCAGTTATTTTGGCTTTTCCTTTGAGTGAGATGGAAGCCATTGGATGATTCTAAGTAGAGCAATGCAATTATCGGACATACATTTTTAAGAAGATTGCTATGGCGGCTCTTTTGAGAAAAAATTAAGGAATCCTTGGAATGACAGTAAGAGAAATGATGATGACTTTGTTCACTGTGGTAAAAGGAGATGGAGAAATTGTCAAATTCTGACTCATTTTGAAGGTAAAACTGAGAAACTTTATTGTTGCAGTAGATGGGTAGAATAAGAGAAAGAGAGGAATCAAGGATGACCCTGTGTTTTTTATATGAATAATGGGAAGGATGGAATTATTAGTTAAAATGGAGAAGACTGGGAGAAGGGAGTAAATGGAGCAAAGAGGCAAGAAACTCTGGAGATAAGTTGCAGGAAATGAGAAGCTTCAGAATCTTTGGCAGATAGATGGCTTGCTGTATCATTGTTTGAGTCGCAGGCAGCTGTTGGCTATCTGGGTATCATTAGAGGGGAGTAAATGTGGATGAGTACAAGGCAGAACACTAAAGCAGGTAGCAACCAATTATTATAAAAGTATGAATGGATCTTAAAAACATGTCACTGAGAGAAAACTTAATCAAAGAGATGGTTTCTGAACTATCATTTACTCACATTAAAATATATGTGCATAATAATACATTTTGCTAAAAGTCATTAAAAATAGGATTTTACAAATCAGATACATGTGAATGAATGGCTGCCTGTAGCAGAAGGGGAATAGGGAAAGCTATGAATAGAGGAGGAGGAGGAGGAGGAGGAGGAGGAGGAGGAGGAGGAGGAGGAGGAATGAATGATTGAAGAGAATGTCAGAGTAAATCTTTTACTGAGCCTTATTATTTCCACTATAAGAGACTAGGGAATAAAGAGGAACAAGTGAAAATTGGAGGAAAACTAAAAGCATTTTGTGCCTTAAAATCTAAAGGAAGGAAGTGGTATGAGGAAGTGTCACAAAAACTTTGGTTTGAATGTTGTTGAAAAGTCAGGTAGAGAAGTGGGGTTGGCAGGTGAGAAGGGCTAGTGGGAGCAGAGGACAATTGTGGAAGCAGGAGGCAGAGGAAGTCACTCATATAACCTCTTGCATAGGCATGAGAGACCAGGCTCTCCATGCCTAGAGAAACAGGGAAGGCAGAGGAGCTGGGCACACATGCCCTAGGTGAGTTGATGGGTGGCTGGAGCTGTGGAAAAGCTTTTTGGATAGCTACTGTTTTCTCGGTGATATAGAAAGCAAGGGCATCAACTGAGAATGAGGATGGGTAGGGTTTGAATGGTTGAAGGAAAGACAAATGCAAGAAAAATGGAAGAACAATGTACTAGGGAAAAGCTTTATGGTTACCAGGCATCATGAAGGCATCACTTCAGGGTAGGTATCCCCATCTGAGTAAAGCAGGCAAAGGAGAGTTTTATTCCAAACTATTGCATTAGAGGAAAGAGATTGAACTGAAAGGAAGGAAAGGTGGAGTGGGTATTTAAGCACTGGGGTGAGCTAGTAAGTAGAAAATTCCTGGAGGAGGACACTGCTGAGGTACCCTAGGGAGGAGGCTGTTCAATGTGATTAGGGTCTGTGTGTTCCCTCCTTGTCTTGTTAGGCTCCAGTTTTCCCAAGGAGACAGGGAGAAAAGTTTCTGTTTGTTTGTTTCTTTCTTTCTTTTGTATATGTGTGTGTTTTAAGTAACTGCTGTTATAAAAGGGAGATCTGGATTCTGGAGTCAGTAAGAAGCCTGCCTCATCAAGTTTAGAGAAGCTGACCTGGAGGTTAGAATCCTCTTGGCTTTAGCCCATTTCATTGTTTTTTCAGCCTCATTTGTTTATGTGGACTCAAGTTCCTGACAGGCAAAGAATTGTATTTAAGTAGGATTGTTATTCTGCCAAGAGGAGATGAGTGTTTGAGAGAGGGAATATGGAGCTGAAGGGAGAGGGTGATTGTAATGGTTGACCCTGGTATTTAAACTGGGAAAAGAGGAGAGAAGCAGTGAAATGATCAAAAACCTATGTCAGGTTGCGAGATCAGTGGATTTTAGTATAGAGAGGTTGAAGAATTTTCGGAGTTGAGCTTTAAAAGTGGGTGAACTGGAAAGATACTTGAAATGCTTGTTGCTTTAGGTGGCAACTGTGCCAGTAATTCTGTGATCCATTCACAGATTCTTAGCTTGAGGCTTATTGAAGTCAGCTTTCTGTGATTTATTGGTCTTCTTCATCTGTGACTACAAAGTGAAAAGACATCATTGCATTTGACTTCTATGTTCAAGTATTAAAAAAGACATAAGACAAAGTATTGGCTGTATTTCTGCCTGAATGTGCTGACCTGCAACCTCAGTAAATGTAAAACTTCTTTTCCCAGTTGGTCTTTTGGTTTTTGCTTTTTTTTGTAGAATACCCTGAAGAACTGCCTGATGACCCTGTGTTTGTTAAAAAAAAATCAAACTAAAGCACAAATTCATTCCCCACCATCAACCCCTTTAAAAAAATCAACTAAAAATCCATGAGATCCTTTAATCATTTTCTCTTCCACAGCTGTGAAGCCATTTGCTATGTTTTGTATAACAATAGCCATAACTCTATAAATAATTCTCACTAAAGAAATATTTTTAGGGCAGATTTTACAACCAGAATATACTTTAATTTATGTTAGGTCAT